CAGTTGTCCAGAACATCTGGATGTGAGGTCACATGATCCCACCTGGTCTCCTGCGCCGATGTCCTCTTCCTGTCTGTCCACATGGACGCCCTGAGCGATGTCTGGACTCTGCTGCTCCAGAGCCACCAGCACATTACATGTCTTATAGTCAAATCCTGCAAAGGCATGAAGTTGTTAAAATTGGAGAAAATGACGTCTGGGTGGAGAAACTGTAGACGTGGAAATATTGTAAACCTCGTCTCACCCTTGTCAGAGTTGTCGTAGCCTATTTTCATAATGGTGTCTCTCACAACCTTCTGATAATCCACGTTGGCCCGGGATGTGATCTCTCCGCAGAGCAGCACCATGCCCGTCTTACACACCGTCTCTATTGATACGAAATTTAATGATTTCTCTGATTAGATACGCATGTTTATTTTGTGACATAGAAAGATCACAAGACTGAAAACATTTTCTACATTTTCTACAGTGTACAAAATTGACTACACTTTCTTTTGACGTTTTTTTTAATGTAATATTCATTTCTCATTTGCTAAACTAATGCCACGACTCTGTTTTACCCCCAGATCATACTTGTATATAATTCAGACATCAGCTGGTTCTGACCCCGGAGGTTTACTCACCACAGGCCACTTTGGCGTCTGGGTCCTGGCTCAGGTGAGCGTCCAGGACGGCATCACTGATCTGGTCACAGATCTTATCTGTGGAGAGAAGCATTAAAGTGAGTTTGAAAATACAAAGACAGAGGGAAGTGTGACTGACACTGATCTCATCACTGACCAAAAGAACAACATGTTCAGGTTCATTTCATTTTCATTCATATTCACATGGAACACATGCTTGTGACTCTGATCCCAGATCAGCTCTCCCTCTCTCTGTGAGAACAGCACAGGCCTCAGATTTGTTATCAAGTCAGATGTCATTAGCTGCAGCTTTCCACCAAGGACACAGGCTTCATAAAACTATCACATGTTCACAAACAGCTTTCTCTAAATATTAACACAAATAAAATAAAAAAATTACAAATTCAACCATTTATTAAATCACTGCTGCTGGTGGGAGATTCAAGTTTCAGCTGAGATTAATTTTGTTCAGCTTTTGTTGTTGTTGTTTTCCAGGTGTGTCCACAGCCTGGCTCCCCTGGCCAGTTATGGACAGGCTTATCGTGGCCCTGAGCTTCTTTGGTCGAGCTGAATCCTATTGGTCAGTAAGGTGAGGCAACTTTTGTTTGTTTTTGTGAGAGAAGCACATTTTTATCAAACTGTCCCCTGGTTTAAAGCGTTCTTAAAAATCAACCAACAAAGAAGTTGTTCATATTTGTTCTTGTCTTGACATAACCGTGCTGCCTTCACTGAACATCTCTTTAACGTGGGGGACGTTGTAATGTTACCTATTAGTGTCAATGTTACGACACACTGGAAGAAGGGGGAGATGTGGAGGAGGAGGGGGAGCAAAGGGAGGAGAGGGCAGAGTTCACTTCGGTGTTATCATTAGCTTTAAAGATAGACAGAAGATAAAGGGAGAAATTCTCAGGTGTGTGTACAGTAGCTGGGTACAAACCCCCGCAAAATGCAGTTTTTAAAATTGTTAATATTTGATAAAGATGTAAATAAAAATAAATATTTAATAACAAACTCTAAGGTTAAAATATTTGAAGCATCAGTATTATTTGATAAATATTGTCTATTTAAGCTTTGGCCTACAAATAATGTAAGTAAGTTTAACATTTGAAAAGTAAACAGTGAATTAAAGGCAATTTAATATTTAATAAAATAATATAATAAACTATTTACAGAACTTCTATTTAACTGTTACCAAGGTTTAAATTGATCCTGGGGTGTTAGCCTTCTTTTAGTGTGTCCAAATAAATTATTTGTCTAAAATGTAACTGTTTTCTGTGTTAACCAAGACTTTTATTTTGAAAATATACAAGCATTTATTTCATGGTATATTTTTTTTTACAAACTTTTTTGCATTTTGATGAGCATTTTGCTATGTTTCTATAACTTTTAGCCTTAGTGTGGTAAGAATTGCTGCATGTAATACTAATACATGTTGATGACAGTAAGTTGGCTTATAGTTAACATTTCTTTTTCCCATGTTACACTTCACCATCAACATGTCAGCCAACACATGGCCCACATGTTGCCTTGTTCTCCCTTTCCTTCATGTAATCACCCACCCCTCTCTCTCTCTCTCTCTCTCTCCCTCTTTCTCTCTTTCTCTCTTTCTCTCTTTCTCTCTCTCTTTCTCTTTCTCTCTCTCTCTCTCCCTCCCGTTTTTTTCTCTCTCGCTCACTCTCACACACACACGTACACACACACATGTTCACCTCCTGCTCACAAGTGTTTGAAGGGACCAAGCACATGTTGCTGTGAATGGAATACCAACCATGCTTGGAGAGTAAATACACGACACTGTAGAGTTATTTTGGAAACTTTTTTTTTTTTTTGCACCAAACTGAACAATTTGTACACACAATTTATGCCATCTGATTTTTTTCCCCTGTATGCATGACCAAAAAAAAAAAAAGTTTTCACAGTTGTTAAAAACTCAGATCAGACACTGAAGCCCAGACTCACCCGGATGTCCCTCTCCCACCGACTCAGAGGTGAACATGAAAGAACCATCGTCCAGCAGGTCACCCATTTTATATTTCTTCTACAGGATCAGCTGTTTGAGGAGTCTGTGAGTCAACACTCGGGGAGAACAGTTCCAGAAGAGCTGAGAGTGTGTTTTCCTGCTGGTTCCCTTTAACAGAGGAATGACATGAAGGTGTGCAGCCAATGCAAAGTCTATGACACCAAACTCCAAGTGTGTGTCCACATGTTCCAATATATATATGGGTAAGGGAACACACACACACACACACACGAACGCACAGCCACACACACACACTGTGCTGCTCCATGGGGCAGTCCATTCTTGGAGGGGTGGGGCTGTGCACGTTGAGTGGCTATTTCAGTGTGTGGAAAATACTTGTTAACCCTTTGTGCCCTGTGGGTGTCTGCAGTGTTTCTGTGTGTGTGGCTGTCTCCAGCTGTCCATGGTGTGCTAGGCTCTGAGCAGAGCACAGACACACATGAAAATGTCCCCCTGTCAATCCATTGGAGCGGCTCTGGAAGCTACAGCAGCTGCTCAGACAGAGAGAAACAACTGCTTTTGTTTACTGTGGACCTGATGCAATGTTACCATTAACCCAGGGGTGATTACTCAACGTTTAGCTGTTGCTAACACCTGTCCATTTTCTTGGCTAATTTTTATTTTTAAATTTTTTTCATGCTTCATTTTTTATTTTTAAGCGTATATGTTATCCAGACTGACTTTAAAGATCAGTTTTAAGATATGTTTTTAATTATTTAAAATATCACTTATTTTAAATAACTGTCTTTTAGCCAAAGATTAGCAAATATCTTGCAGACAACTACATTTCTTTTCTTTTTTTTTAGCTACCTCCAAGTTCATTTTCTATATCTTTGACTAAAGAAACTATTTAGGCTACTCTTTAGTGCGCTTTCAATTTATTTTAAAGCTAGGTTAAGTTAAAGTTTAAATCCCTTGTAATGTGGAGTGTTTTTTTCTATTTATAGTTAATTTAAAAAAAAAATTTAAGTCTAACTTTCTTTTTAAGGAACTGAAACCCTTCCAGACGGCTCTGAAGGTGCTCCTTCTTATATGTTTAAATTTGAATGTTTTACGCTGTACATTGTGTGTGAAAGCCTGTGATTCTGCACCCATCAGACCCATGTGTTAGTACAGTTTTATGAGATTAACTACTCTCCATCTTTGACAGTAATCACATTTAGAACAGACGGTCACCTGTTGTTTAAAAGCTAATTTTCTGTCCACATCCCAGCCTGAGGCTGTTGCTTTTTTTTCACATTGGACTTTTTCCCAAGTGAAGATGGAATAATGAAGATGCTCAGCTCAGATATGTCCTGGTCTTATCTTAGTGTTTGTGAAAAAACCCCAGATTGTTGGACTGTTTGGTTCAAGTGATGCTGCTTTTACGTAAACAAACAAACACATGGAGTAAGAGTGTCACGGTCACTCACAGACTACGTACCTGACACTGAGCAATAAACACTACTCTATTGACCATACAATACCAATCAGTTAAAGAAGCTTTACCAGTGACAGAGTTGAAAGGTCAGGCTTCTACCCCAGCAGCCCCACTGCCTGTAGAGGGACGGCTGCAGCTGAATGAAGCTAACGTGAACTAGATTGAACTGGAGAAGGTGTGAATGTTCCGCCTCGTGCCACAGAGTGCAGTGAGCGGGTCTGACGGCCCAGAGCACGGCCCCTGCTCCTTCACCTCTGTGTGTTTGTAATGATACCATTCAGGAGACCTCAGTGTTTCTCTCCACGTCTGAGTCTTTTCTCTGAGCAGCTGTTAATGACTGACCAGGACAGAGGTTTTTTTATTTTTCAACACTAACAAGAACATTCTGGTTACGCACAAAGATAACTGGTATCAGAGTCGTCATGCGTCAGCTCCGAGCTTCGCCAGGTTGAACGACTGCTGAAGGCAGAAGACCGTTAAACAAATGTAAGGCCACTTGAAGATCATTAAGAGATTAAGGTTGTGATCTGGTAATGCCCTTGGACATGAATTCACCAGGTTCACTGGTGAAGTTTATTGTTTTTATGGTTAATCTAGTCAAACATACTGGACAGCAGACAATTTTTTCATGTGGTCACATCTTAGGTTTTCAACAAAATTCCTATTTTCAAGAAATTGAGCAAAAGGATTAAGGCTGTCGGTAGACATTTTTATATATAGATGTATTTATTTGTAGCTATTTATTACATATTTATTTTTTATTGACATTAATTGGAAGTCAACAAACTTTTTTTACACTTTGACACTGATCTAGACTGGTAATGGTTAACGTTTCCAAATGCCTCCAAGGAAAATATATACGAAAACCAGTTAAATCTATTAATCTTTCCTCTCCTTTCACATTTACCAGACTTAGCAGTGAGTGAAAGGGGTTAAAGGTTGCGAGGAGACGAGGACCTTGAGTTTGTTGCGTGTCCATTAAAGTATAACAGAATTTAATCTCAGACTAAGGAAATGGAAACATGATTTCACCCTTGTATTTTTTTATTGTACATTTTGTCAATGAGGCAATTTTTCTCACATACGAGAACCTGTGTTTACCATTTGTAAAAGAAAACAACAGCGTTTTACCTATTCAGGATCATTCTTCAAAGCCTCCTCCCTTCTTCTGGTTGGCTGCAGCAAATGTGTGTCAGTGTGACCTGTTGTGCTCTGGTTTAAAAGCTGAGGGTCACGGTTTTGGGGTCATTTCATGGTTGAAGTATCCGAGTCAAACTCGACAGAACAGGATGAGATAAAAAGAATCCAGCCAGCCTGTTAACACTGTTTGTCTTTCTCCAGGGTCCAAGGACATCAGGTTTACCTGCACTCATCGTCTTTGCCACTCTGGTTACTAGCCAGTTTCATCTGGATGGCTGTCAGAACAGGCGGAGGCAGTTGGATCAGGTCATGAACTTTTTATTGCATGCAAAAGTGACTGTAGGGTGATTAGTGGGCCCAGCAACGTTGTATAAGGAAGTGTGTATCAATAAGGAGCAGATAAAACAGGAACAACAGGATCTTGGTTGCTTCATTTTATTAGTTTTTACAAGCTGCAATGGCTTGAGCTCCGCTATGTTTCCATGCAAAATGTTAACACCTGAGGCCCGGGGGAATTGCTTTGCAATTTTAAATGGGTTAAATATTAAAGAACAAGTTATAATTTAAACTAAATGAATGGGATCTCTAACATTAAACACAAGTTTCTGCGTCAGAACAGAGTAAAAAAGGCAGAGCTGTCTTTTCAAATAAACAAACAGTAAATGCTGTGTTTTTGGCTGTCCTTCGTTTGCTATGGCTCTCTGTGCTCCGTGATTGGTTCTACATGAACAGCAAGTTCAACCAATGTCAGAGAGCCTGGGACCAGAGAGAAGGTGGGGTGCAAACGGACCCCTCTGATTGGCTGCTGGGCCTACACACTGCTCGCCTGAGCAGCAGTTGTTCAAGCCAAAGCTGGTTTACACTTGTGCACGTGTGTGTGTTTGTGCACACAAAGCATGTAAAAGGATACCTGTAAGAACAGCATTTAAAAAACAGTCCAACTAATTTACAATTAGAACTAATTTATTCCTGTGAAGAGATTTAAAAAGATAACGTAGAGCAGACAGATGTTTTAGTGAGAAACTATTCTAATGACTATACTTTAGTTTTCTGAAAAAGACTTGAAAAAATTAAATTTCCCACAAATGAATGTAGAAATGCAGAAATTTCCCTAAAAATACGTATTTATGGATTTTTATATAGCTAAAATCAAGATTTCTTTTTCAGTTTGTCAAATTTTGATGACAATAAAATACCATAATAATAATTTCCTGAAAAAGTCTTCATAAAAAGTTTTCAAAAATGAATAAAAATACATTAATTGGCCTAAAAGTTTTTTGGTATGTCAGTTTTTGATGGGAGTTAAAATTATTGAAAGATTTTTGTTTCTAAATATTAAAAAAAACATTTTTTCAAAATTTTCTTTCAAAACCTTATAATTTTTAAAAAACTATATTTTAATGAGAAACATTTGGTCTTGGATTTTTGGTCTTGGTCTTTGGTCTCGGTCTCGGTCTCGGTC